AGTAAAAATCAAACAAATCAACAAAACATTAAATTCCACCAACATTTGATGACTTTATCTCACTCTAACAGTCTGACAATTCCCACATCCATTAAGAGCTAATGGGAGGGGACTCAGATAGTGACCCTGCCTGGGTCATTAAGACCAACACAATGCACCCAAAGGGATTAGAACCAGCAAACCTTGCCATCACTTACTGGGTTGGGGTCAACGTGGAAGTGAGATCTTTGACTCTTCATGTTTCCAGAGAACTTAACAATTTACCACCGGCTTTTATATCCACTCACACCCATCTAAACCTGCTTCCTAATTCAGGGTTCTCTCCCAGCACCACCACGTCACTGAGAAGAGCCCTTATTTCATCCTGGAAATCCATGATCTTCTGACTCGTACAAACTCTGCCTTTTTTCTCTATCACTTTAGGTCCCTCCTTTAACCCTTCCATCTTTCACTCCTTTCCAAACCTTTCACAATCTGTCTCCTATGTCCTCAGCTCCTGTCCCTGCTCCGTATCCCTTTAATTGATTCTGTGCTTGTCCTTCCCTCCTTCTGTTGGTACGACTCTTACTTAATGTCTCTTCTATCTTGGTCTCTCTCTGCATGTCTCCATCTCTCTGACGCCTTCTCTTTATCACGCTCACCCTGTCTCTGTTTTCTGTGTGGGTCTCTTAGCATGTGCCACACTTAATCTTCACACACAGTGGCTGGCTGATAACTTCCGGAGTTGTCAGGGTCTTAAACATCTCCACACGCTCACCTCCCAGGGACAGGCTGCAGCCTACCTGTGGCAACCTGGGGAGGTAGCCGGGAATGGGATCAAGTGCCTGCAGAATGATGCGCATGGGTGGCCTTCGCCTCCGGTCTCACCTTAGTTGTGAATCTGGCATCCCACTGCAGCTCTGTCATCCTCTCTGCTGAGGGCAGGGCTCTTCTCGCCACATGCTAATAAGGGATATTCAGAAGTTACCTAAGAGTTCATCCCTTACGACAGAACCAAAACCCCAGAACACGGGCTTGGGAGGCACAAACTCTAACTTTTAGTCTCAGAGAGGCCCTCAACCACAGTGAGCAATGGGCAAGTTGTACCTTTCCTGGGCCTCAGTTTCTCCATCTGTACCACAAGGAGCTATGTCTGAGCTAGTTAATCTTTAAGTGCTTGTCAAGGTTGGGGACTTGGAACATGGGGCTTTTTGTGAAGCAGAAATCCAGGGAGCTCTTTGGAGACTCAAGAGAGGACGTGAGACTGCAGACCTGTCTCCTGTCGGCTGCTGCTAGGTGTGGGATGTGGGCAGCGCCAGGGAAGAGAAGAAAGCAGAGCTGTAACTGGACCACAGGAGACTGTTTAGCTGGTAGAGTTTGAAATCCCAGGGAAGGCAGCTGTCAGGAAATGAAGCATATGGCCAGATGGCTGGTGGGGCGCCTGCTGGCTACTCTGGAGGGCTGGACAGAAGATCACTTAGAGGAGGGAGGAAAAGGAGGCGAGAAATGACAACTGCCTTTGATGCTGAAACATTTGCAGCCCTGCCTTCTGGAACTTGGAGGACAAAGGAGCTACAGCATTCGCCCCCACCAGCTCCTCCCACCCCAGTGCTGCCCTGTCTGGGGCTCAGGCAGGGTGGCTTGAAAGATAAATTTAGACTCATCTGAAGCTACTGGCTTTCACACGGTGGGAAGTCCACTGCCTTAGCAGGTACCTCCAAGAGGTGACATGTCCTGGAGATGGGAACGATTACAAAGAAGGTTTAAGTGAAGCCAAGGATGAGAGAGGGTAAGTGAAACGGGCAACTCTGATATCATGGCAGTCCGGGAGCACTCTAAATCTTGAGGCTGTTGTGAAAAGAGTAAGTGTGGTCCGTTCACTATACTCCTATCCATGAGTCCATCAGGGCAGACACAGAGCCTCGCTACTCAGAGACAACCTGAAATTGAATGGTTGGGAACAATGGACAGTGTTTGAGGCAGGATAACAACTCCTGAGGCGGCTAAAATTCTGCCTGAGCCTGGAGACTCCCAGGCTGGCCTTTCCGGCACTACGCCCCCTCTTACTGGCCAGTCTGTGGGGAGTGGGAAGGCACGCCCTCGGGGCCATCAGGAGATCTGGGATCGTGGACCAGCTCTGCAATGTCTTGCTCTGCCACCTGTGTCAACTCCCTTCTCCTTATGTAAGGTGAGACCCTGGGATTCCATGAAGCCTTTTCAGGATCTAGCACCTTACCACCCAATTTGGACCAAGCTAATCTTCACACAAGAGAATGGGAGCTAGTATATTTGATCATTCGTCACATGCCAGCCACTCTGATAGTTGCTGTGAGAAATCAAACTACGCAAAACATACACCATGCCTATCACAGTTGCTGGGGTCTGGTGAAAGAAACATCTCTTTTTAAAGAGCAGGCAATAGGACTATGCTTGTCATGGGTGGGGGAGGAAGGCAAGATTTAGAGTCAGGTCTGTCTGGAGATCTGTTTTCCTAACACCCCCTCCTGCTAACCCATGTGTCTGGGCTTCTGCAGGCTCCTTCCTGGACAGGAAAATGCCTTTATGGCCCTTATCCCTCTAAGACGCACTGCTCTTTGCTATCAGCTCAAACTCCAGTCCACAAGCCTTGTCCTCTGAGAAGCCCTTTATCATTCTTTGTAACTCCTCTCAAAAGGCTTCAATGGAAACTCTTTGGAAACCATTGGCATTCCTCGGAACACCACTTTGCAAATTAAATTTTTCATACATATTTTTTTCAATTGTCTGTGTTTCATTTGCAGGCTTGTAAATTCCCTTCACAAATGCAAGGGGCACTTTCTTTACTTTTTTATTTCTGATTCCATGCAGCATTATTCTATCCATCATGATGCTCAAGACAGAATTTCATAGTCTTAAAACCATAGAATGCCAGCATTGTGGGATCTCAGTATTGGGTGGTTCATCCAGATTGTCCTTAAATGTCTCCCAGAGTTTTTCCAACAAAGTAGCATTTGGCCTCTGCTTTAACCATCGGAGTAGCAGAAAGAGACTTGCTGGGCATTGGAGGACGTGACTCAGCCACTAAATTGCTGTGTGGCTGCCAATCACTCCTATCCCCCTCGACTCCTTCCTCGCCTTACCCTTTGCAACTGTTCTCTGGCACTTGTCCATTATGCCTCACAACTATCTCCCAATATTCCTTTTTGTCTTCAATATTATTCCCAACATCCTGATCAAAGTCACTAACAGTCTCATGTGGCTTCCACAAGAGACCCTAATTGACCCCTAGGCCACTCATTCCCACGCCACCCTCATCCCAGTCTACTTCCCATGCAGCCACCGTGAGGTTGAAAGATACAGAGCAGTCACGACATGCTCCCTCCTGTAACCATTTAAGAGCATTCCCATTTGCTGTTAGAATAAAGACTAGGCCTGCGAGACCCCCATGACCAGCTTCTGCTCACTGATCTGGTTTCACGAGCTCCCACCATCCTTCCCTCACTTATTCAGTTTCAACCTCGCCATTCTTCATTTCCTGAAGCCAACCGAGTTTTATTCTGTCCTTGTTAGAATATCTATCTCTGCTTGAAACCTTTTTCAATGCTAACTCCCACTCATCTTCCTGGTATTAGTTAAATAACACTTCGCATGGAAAAGGAAAAGCCTTATTGTTTCTTTCTGAACCAACAGGTATGCTCCCACCATTCTCTAAACTAAATCCAACTAAATTAGACCTCACTGTTAATTGCTTTCCTGTATCTTTACTCCATAGTACCTACCACAAATTAAGTAAATACATAAGATCTCACACACACACACACACACACACACACACACACACAGCCTAAGCACCACAGGGTACAGAACCATTTTTATCTCATTTTCCATTATATGTCAAGTAACCACCATGGTACCTGGGATATACTAGGTGCTCAAAGAGCATGTGCTAACTATATATGTGAATAGTTTTAGGGAATTCACATTTCCATTCTAGCTTTATAAGATGGAAAATGATGGGGTATGTTGGATTAGAGGCCAAGAGCAAAGCTTCGGAGTCCGCCAGACTTCCATCTGAACACTGACTCCCTCTCTTACTAGATGGTGACCTTGGGAAAATAACTTTACCTCTCTGGTGTTGACGTTTCAATTGTAAAATGAAGGCCACAGCGCCTCAAAGGGTTTTAATAATGAAGCCAAAATGGCATTCATTCGGCTCTCCCCCTTCATACAACAGGGGTTTGGGAAAGCCACTCAACATTTCCACTTCTCATCTGTATAAAGGGGATAATAATAGCTCTTGGGACTCATGGGACTCTTGTGAGGATTATATAAATCAATGGATTGAAAGTGCTTAGAATACCCTCAACATGTGCTGAATTAATGTTAGTGGCTATTATTATTATTATTATTATTATTATTATTATTTAAAGAGCTCGATATATATTGTAGATAGTAGCCACCATTCCTACTACAATCACCACTATTATTAATTAGATGATGGGATAAGGATGATGATGATTATAATGGGGATGTTTCTTACTAGCTCTGACTTTTGTTGACAAACTCAAGTGGTAAGGAAATCCCTGCTTTATGATAACATCCTATCACATTTTCATGCAAAACTGCCTAATAGTGTGTGTGTGTGTGTATATATATAATTCTTCTCACTCTACCATCTTATGGTTCTTCAGGTTTTAAGGCATGAATACATCCCACCCAAATCCCTCTTCTGCAGATAAAACAGGTCCAGTTTCTTCAGCTCTCCCCAAAAGCCTTTCACAATTAGACTGCATGTCCAATCTTCATATCATTTGGCCAACCCAGTGTCTGTTCTGTTCCCTCTCTTACATGATAGCAGTCTCATCTTTGAATTTCTCGTGTACCTCTTATTCTTTAACAAAGAGGCCTTTGGCATATTGTTGAGCAAAAAACTAAATTTCTAAACAGCTTTACTGAGATTTGGTATGAGTGTGCCTGTGTGTGTATGTGCACACACACACAGGGGAAGAGGGAGAGAGAGGTGGTGTAAGAATGCCCCATACCTAAAGGTCATCTGGAAGACTTGGCCTTGGTTCACATGCTGGGTCCGGTTGTTGTAACCATGTAGCATCTCTCCAAAGAGGGTGTCGTTGAATTTGGAGTCAGGTTTGAGGCACTTGGGGCCCTCGCAGACATCTGAGAGCATTACGCAGGATTTCCCATCAGGAGCCAGCTTGTACTCCTCCACGCAACTGCATGATAAAACAAAGCCAAGAGTTAGCTCCACAAACTGGATGCCCCCATTGGGAGTGACCCAAAACCAAGGCCTCCTTTGCTTGCAAAACAGGTCAGAGTTTAGGAACGGAGACAGCTATTCTGGCTGCAGTCTACGCAGGGCACAGGTGTCTTGAGAGAAGCACATTAATCCTGCAAATTGGTAAATTCAGGGGAAGTCATTTGTGGCATTTTGGAGGAGTCGAGGGGGAAGCCAGAGTGCACATCCACGCACAGAGCAAATTTAGAAACTGTTTTCCATGAACACACAGACTTTAAAAAGCATGACAGACCAATTCACGGGGGATTATCAACTAGTTTCTCAAACCAGAATCTATTCCCAGTGTATCTGTCTACCAAGGTTGAAGACTATTGCAAAAACAAGGTTTTTATTGCCCTTGTAGCTCAGAGGCAATCCTTCTAGGACCACGGACAGCACACGGAGCAGCAGCTGCTGTTTCTGTTCAATTAGCAATGTTAGCAGCCTCTGATGGCCTCTAACCACCCAATCTTGACAGCGAAAGGGCCCTTTGCATATCTTTGAGGCAGGGCAAGTTCCTCTATGGACCAAATAGGCATCTGAATGGGACAGAGAGACAATATTTGCAATTTGGGAGTTTGGAGAGGAAAAGGAATTTCTTAGAGAGGCATGGGGGTGGAGGGGGTGGGGAGGGAAGCAGAGATCTCAGCCCCTGAAAAAATCAGCCCAGACACCGGAATCCTTTGAGGGTCTACCTGTTCCTCATGGTCCTTTGCTAGGCACCAGGGATAGGGTGCACATAATAAGTAAGACCCACAAGCTAATAGGCTGCTTAATTGGCGAGACCTGCATACATATCTTTGGACCTCCCTGCACCCTGGCAAGTCATTCAACTTCTTCAGTCTCCAGTTTCCTCATCTGTAAAATGAAGCAGATATTCCTATACTACTTAATTTACTAGGCTGCTCTAAAGTCCCATGATACATTAGTTGCCAAAACAGGAATTACAAGGTGCCTAACAAAACCATAGTAATGAAAGCAATGGTGGTGTTTCTATGTTTTGAGCATATAAGATCTACTGGGGGCTTTGCATAGCTACTTTCTAACTATGAAAAAACAAGATAGTATCATCATTCCTGCTTTACACAGAAGCAAAATGAGGAGCCAAGAAATAAAGCATGCTGCACCCTAAGTGTCAAGCTGGCATTAAATTCAGGTCTGTTTAGTGACAAAGGTATCATTTTCTACTCTTATTTCTCTAAATCCAGCTGTTTCTAGTTGGAAGACATGACCCTGGATCAGTCTGTTTCTGTTGGAGGCAGTAGAAAGCAGGCAATCCCTTATTTGCCTTCTTCCATAAGGTGGAGCAAAGATCTATTGTATCTGATCCCAAAGAAATTCAAGGACTCGGATATAAGAAGGGAGAGGCTCTGTGACACGGTTTGGGGTGAAAGTGTCCCCAGGCGGCAGGAACCAGTAGCTGATGCAAGCGATAGAGAACCCAACTGAAGGCAGGGAAATGAAGAGGCAGAGCTGAAAACTTGACCCAAGATCACTCGTGGAAAACCAGGGGTGTCTCACGCATGAAGCAAGCTGTCACTCTTTTCTTGCTCTACTCTAACCCCCAGTGTTTTCGTTGTCTTTCTAATGTTTACATGCTCCTGCCCAGAGTACAGCAGAAAAGTTCTTGGAAGAAGGCCTATCCTAGTGCCTCGGCTAAGTCGATTTTCCCTTCTTTTTGTATCTGTTAAATGTAAGTAACTCTCCTTTAAAAAAGTTGCAGTACAGATGAAGTGAGTTATATGAACGTGCAAAGTACATGGTTAAGCTCGCAATAAAGTCTAGTTCCATCCATTTATCTCAGGAGGTTCCCAGCAAACATGAGAAATCGCTCTCCGTCTCTCTCTCTCTCTCTCTCTCTCCACACACACACACACACACACACACACACACACGCACATGCACACGTGCACACACACATGCACACACACGCACAAGTACACACATGTGCATAATTACATTTTTGTTGTAAATAATTAAACATTATGAAAGTCTATAGAGTAAACTGTGCAAGTTCTTTATGTCCCACTCCACATATATTCTTACGTCCTGTTCCAGTGGTCATCCTTAGTAACTATTATGTATTCTTCTAGAGTTTTTCCCAATGCATTTGGAAATACACATTAAATATATAGTACATGTGAGGCAGGCATTTATTTGTACCTAACACTATTTCTTGCAGATCTTTTCAAATCAGTATTCCTGGAGATCTATCTTTTTAATGGTTATTTGGCATTGCGTGATATAAATGTACCATAATGCTTTTAGCTAATCTTTATTGATGGGTATTTTGGTTGTTTATAGCTGTTTGCTATTACGAACGGTGCCCTCCTAAAGATCTTTGTACATATATCTCTGCACATGTGTGTGTTTCTCTAAAAGAGATTCTTAGAAGAGGGATTGCTGGGTCAATGTTTTATGAATTTAAAAATTTTGATAGGTCTTCTAAATGACCATCTGTAGGCATGGTACCAGTATGCAATCCTGATTGTATGAATGAGATGAGTGTATGTATGAAATTGATGAATGAGAGAGCCCATTACCCACATCTTTCATGTTCATTACTGCCAGTCTAGGATGGGGAAAAATAACTCACTTTTGTTTGGATTTGCATTTCCGTGATTACTGGTGAGGTTCACCATCTTTTCATGCCTTGGGCAGGTGTATTTCTCCTTTTGTAGATTGTCTGACCATGTGCTTTGACCATTTTTCTATTGCAATGTCTTTTTCCTTTTGGCTTGTATATGTTTTGCATATTTTCTGGATAGATACCTTTCACCTTCCATACATATTGGAATTTCCTTCTTGTCTGTACTTGTATTTTAACCTTGCTTTTCATATCAGACAGCCTCTTTATCCTGGTCCTTTTTTGCTTCTGAATTTGTGCAATGCTTAGAAAGCCACAAGATGATGAAACAGATTTCTGTCTAGTCTTCTAATATTCCTATAGTTTTTTCATCTTTAGTTATTTAATCTATGTGGAATTAAATTTTGTGCATGGTAGGAGAGGTGCTTTTAACTCAATTGTTTTTATAATAAAAAATAATTACCTGAAGGGTATATCCTTTGGCCAATTTGAAATGCTATTTTTGTCATACACTACATCTATGTATAACATGTATACATGCCTGGGTTTTCCCTACTGAATTATCTGTTTATTCCTGCAATAATTCTACACAAATTTTAATTACTATCACTTTATAGCGCAGTTTGGATAAAGTAAGTCTGCTTTCCATCACGAACACTAATTTATATTTCAAAATTTTCTCCTTGTTCTTACCCATTTTTCCTTCAGATGAATTTTGAAGCTGGCTTGTCAAGTTCCATATAAACCACTAATGGAATTTGGGGCGGTATTATATTGAATGTGTAGACTAAATTGTGGGAAGGTTTAATCTTTTTTGCTTTAAGAAATACGTATTTAGGGTCAACTCTGTGCTGCACACTGCTGACTGTGGCAGAGATGGTGTCTTTTTTTTTTTAAATGTTTTTCCAGGACCCATTTGTTCCAAGTCAAGTACTTGTCTTCAATCTAGTGGAGGATGCAGCTCCTTGGCCTATGTGGGAATCGAACTGGCGACCTTGGTGTTATGAGCCTGCGCTCTAACCATCTGAGCTAAACGGCCACCCCCACAGATGGTGTCTTGTGTTCACCACACTAGTATCTGTTCTTGGGCACGTGTTGTCGACAGTGATTCTAAGCTTTCTTTGTAGTTGGGCCACAGGGACCATGTGCCTGGATCCTGACAGATAGAATCTGTGCTGACATGATATAAACCATAGACAGACCCAGCCCTTTCAAACATCCTGTGAGTTGGTCAAGCCCTCTCTCCTGCTATGGCCAGCTTGGAGATCAAGTGTCCCAGGTGCAGACTGCAGGGAGGAAGAGGGCTGCCTCCGTCACAGTGGACCTTGCATGAATGCTAAACAAGCCTCAGTGTGCAAGCTTCTGGTTTGGGAGGCTTCCTTTGTTACGGCCACATAGCTCATCTTCTCCTAGCTGATTGATACAGCATCTTTACAGCTATGAATCTTGTAATTCAGAAAACATAGTTTGCAACTGCATTTATTAAGTGTTCCTTTACACCCTTCACTGAAGTTTTAGATTTTTGGCTGTAAAAGTCTTGCATATATCTTGTAGTAGCCTTACTCATAGGTATTGATGCAACACACCACACTCCAGAGGCATGCTTTTTGGATCCAGGCCACCAGAGTCCAAATCCTGATTCCATTGCTTATTGACTGTGTGATCTTGGACAGAATGCTTAACCTCTCTGCATTTCCTTTGTTTATCTCTAAAGAAGTCCCAACATCACAGTGCCACTGTTAGGATTCAATGAGCTACGCTTCGATACAGTGTGAAAACCATGAAGTACAGCGATAGCTTCTATCAGTACAGTCTTTTCCACTTCAGGAAAGGATCAGTTTTTCACCTATGCTTCCGCTTATATTTTCTAGTTAGTTATTGCTAATATTGAGGAAAGCTATTACTGATTTGTATAAGTTGATTTTTCATCCTACCGCATTAGAGACTCATCAGTTCTAATACGTCTAACAAATTTTATTAGACGGATGAGTATATATTTGCCTAGTTTCAGTATTAGGATTACGCTAGCATTTGGAATATATTAGAAAACTGTCCTTTTATTTTCTTTCTCTGGATTGCTTTATATAAGATAAAGCAATCCATTCCTTGATGATTTGATAGGACTTGCCTATAATCTCCCGGGCTTGATGTTTTCTTTTCAATTATAGCTATTTAGCTCTCGTATCAGTTTATGTTATCTGTCTATTTAGCTTTTCTACAGTATCATGACTTAAATTTGGTAATTTATATTTCCTAAAACAATAATGCGTTTTATCAAGACTTTCAAATGCATCGGTATAAAGTTGCACGCAGTATTCTTATTAAACTTGCTTTATCTTCTGTGCTTGTAT